ATTATACCATTGATGAACCTTAAAGAGAAAATACAAAAAGAAATGTATTGCGTGATGAGGTGAAGGGTTACATTTTAGGATGTCCATATTTTGCTATCACATGCACTCCACTTTTCATTATGATTTAATGTATCAAGATAATATAAATGTACATGTAAATGATTTATTTCATTCAGAAGATGTAAAACATGTGTATTTTTTGCAAAACAAGAGAACCAAGAGTTTTCAAAAATGCATCATAAGTCTGCCTTTCACAAAATAACGCTCCAGACTTTTTGAGAATCACGAAGATGAAGGCATATGTCGAGAATTAAATACTTTGCGCGATATAAATATTTCGTCTCAATTTTAACGAAATAACTTTTGGGAGTTTGTCTCTTTCAAAACCATGATCACGATGCATTTCCTTCATATCCTGGCTCTTGGATTGATTTATCCATACGACTTTCAACACATCGGTTTCCCACTTACATGAGTTCTCCTTCTGTTTCCATGACGACCAAATCGGCCCCGTCAACATCTAGCCCGCATTGGCTTCGTGCCTCGCTCCAGTTGACAGACGTGTTATAATCGAAGAAATAACAATGAGAGTTATACTCGAGCCAGTTCACCGGACACTCCTCCAACCATTGTGGGCGAACTACATCTGGACGAGATGGAATAATTAAAAGGTTTCATTCTCGTTTCGGGGAAATCTTCATTACACTGTCAAATAATTGAAGTGGGATCGCAGGGACTTTCGCAAAATAAAATCAAGGGGAAAAATCATGGTCGAATTGTGTCATATGTAATTGCAATACCACAGTGAGACCTACGAGACCGACACCAGACCGAGAACAGATCGAACATACAATTACATTATTCTATACGGCCAAAAATTAGTCCGTTTGGAGTTGGTTTGACTACTGTAAACAAATTTCTAAATTTTAAATACCCATTGGAAAGGGCTATTGAAATTACCATAGGTTGTTGTTGTTGTTATTATTTCGATTGTTGTTGTTTTGTGGATAGTCTTTAGGGTCGTTTTGTGGGTGAAATACTGCCCACCAAGTTGTTTATTATGTGTCTGACCGATAGGGCTTCTGGCGTCTTATGGTAGAAATCCAATCAAGTCAAAATGAACCACGTTTCCTGCTTAAACGATGTGAGATTGAAGGACACCATGCAAGCTATTAGATTGGAATATAATTGGGAATTTTCATCTAACGAAAATCTTCTTTCATGTATTTATTTGAAAGATATGAAGAATCATTACATTTATGAGGAAGAATCACAATTACATTTACGAGTAAGAATTACAATTACATTTGTTGTCAAGGCAGCGGTATGTACATGGTTATGAACGTGCCTGTGCTTTCTTTTATTATTTCATTTCTCATTTCATGTCATTCTTATTCATTTCCCCCCAAAAGCGAACAACCATATAACTTGTTAAAGTATGCAGAGCATTATTTTGATAATCACAAATAACAACCAAAAAAAAATACAATAAATAAATGTGCAACATGACTTGGTTCATACAGAACTAACAATTACGTAATTTGTTTTATGATGTAAAAGTAAATGCATAATTCGATTTTACCAAACACCGGAACAAAAAGAGACAAGAAAACAAAAAACAATGTTTGGAAATACAGAGGCCGACATGGAAGCTAAAGCCTTGTTATTTGAGATCCCTGGAAAAAGGATCAAACTCACTTTCACACACGCACACACACCCTCCACACACAGAAGAATACACACACAAGTACACCCCACATACATCCTAACACGAACTAACACAATATCAATATGAATAGATATATACATCTATTTCAAGAGTACGAAACGAAGATAAGGGATCAGAGAAGTTGAAACTAACCTGCAATTATTTGGAAAAGTAGGACAGCCGAAATAAATCTCCTCATTCTATCTGATGCTATATCCATGATTCGCTTCCTTGCCCTAGAAAAAATTGGGTATTAGAATAATGGCGAACATTCATTACCATGGATACCGGTTATTTGACGTCATAATGATCATAACTAGATGTGATATTGGAGAATGTATATCACACACGAATGTGATTTGAAGCAAAAAATCGTCATGAAACGTAATTTACGAAGAACGAAGTTAGTCTCGACGAATTTGGACCTCTGTTTCATATCTCGATCACAACACTGTTCTCCAAAAACTGCTTTGTCCTCTATCGCAATGATTGCAAGTGAAAATGTATAACAGTAGTCCGTATAAAATGGGCTTTGATGTATTTCTGTCCTTCCCTAGTGACTCGCATCTTTCTACTGGTGGTGGAAACGGGCGCATCATCTCCCTACCTACCCCTTACTACTTGATTAAAGGGCCGGTCATACCTCATCCATAATGATAACGATAACAGTTACTACATAATATCGATGTTGCTCACTGATTTATACTGAGCTTCAACTTCAACTTGAGCTTCAACACGATCGAAAAAGTCTTTAAAAATAAAATAAAAAACAAAACAGCGTACGATTTGAGTTGTTTGGATTTCCTATAAATACCAGGACCTGATATTTATAGGAATTCCAATGGGGCACTTAAGTTGATCTAGAAAGTCTTTAAATACTTGTTATGCGTCATGGCTGATCACATATCAGTGATTTAATAATGAAAACAATACAATCAGTCAAGGCAGAACATGAATGATGTTTTATTAATCGGTCTTCAGCACCAGTTTCTTCAAAAATTAAGACCAGCTTTATAGTTTACCGACCAATGATGCTCACATGGTATTGTTTAAATATATGCCTAATTAAAGTTCCTTTCCCTACATGAACCAAAAATCATCTTAGATCATTATTTTAATGTTATTGTATATTCATAGTTATCACTTATTGTTTTTATTCATGTTTCGTAGAATCTACAAGTATCTAGAATGAGCATTTAGCTGCAATGATTCTTGCATTATAGTGAATAATCAAAAGCTAATCAAATCACGGGTAAAGTAATACATTATTACATTAAGTTTAATTTTCTTAACGCCCATAAAGTTAACAGAGATGAAGCATATCCAGACTCCCTATTCTTTTGCATTAAGCGCTATTGGAATGTTATTTTATCATTATTAATATTGGTATTATTATCATTATTAGTAGTATTATCATCGTCATTATCATTATTATTATCCAGGTTTTACTCGGCTCGTCAAAGTACACATAAATAGGCGAAATCTTACCAAGTAAATGTTAAGGTGGTAAGTGGTAAGTTCAAACTTCATGTTATGATTACCCCCCCCCCCCCAGTCATGCAATTATTCTGTGTAATGATAGTACTAATAATCATAATAATGATGATAAAAATAAAAGATAATAATAATACATATGATAATTCTGCTTATTTAGACTGCGCTATACACAAAGAAGTTTCATCGCTTTGAGAACGCTTAGATTGTAAATAAACATTTGTATGTAATGTACGGATAAAAAGCGTTATCGTAACTGGTGCTGGTGTGACTGGGTCTGTACCGCGATCAGAGAGGACCATAGAATTCGATTGAGATTCAGTATTCAGAGCACCTGCTCAACAGGAAATGGGCGCTCGCGTTATTCAAAGAGCCTTGTATTGAAAAGCTGGGCTACTTCCAATGGCCTTCAGGGAATGCGTAACATGTCACTTTTATTGATAGCACCCGTATTAGTTTAAACAGCCATCTTCTCTGTATACGTATTAATCGCAAGATACCATCAACACGTCGCGATCTGTCTTATATGCCTTTATCATACTATTATAAGTATTGTATATCTTGTAAGTGGAAATCTCTATATATTATGTCCAAATATTTACATGTCATTTTATTTTTACAAGTAAATCCGGAAGGATACAATTTGGCTTAAAGATAATATGAAGCATCATTGGATAACACAAGAGGCATAAGTGGCACTATTAATACATCAGCAATATAAACAATTAAGCTTACATAAATGATAAATAAGGAGAGAGGGGGAGAGAGAGAGAGAGAGAGAGAGAGAGAAAGAGAGATAAAGAAAGAGAGGGAGAGAGAGAGGGAGAGAGAGACAAAACAAGGGAGAAACAGACATTGAGGGAGAGAGAGAAGTGGAAAAGCGGTGACAGACAGGGAGGGGGGAAAACAGAGCGAGATGGAGGGGTGTGGTAGAGAGAGAGAGAGAGAAGGGGAGGCATAGAGCAGTATATACGACCCAATTATGTCCGTGTACACGGTGGTTGTTGTTGTTTCTTCTACAGCCTGCATTGTGCCTTGTACATTCAAGTATCTCATTCATGTTTCAGAAAAGGACAGTTAATCGTTATAATAGTTTGTTCTATGTTGCTGTTTGATAATCACATCTTGTCATTTATTTTTTTCCGACCATAGAATGAAGTCATGTATTGTATCTGAATAAACTTCACTTGATTTATTATCTCAATAAGTATAACATTTGTAGTTTCGTATTCTACTTCCATTTCATCATTCATGAACAATCATCCCTTAAACTACAACACAAACCTGCTCACTCGCTGCACATAGCAAGAGACAATTGGTAGATGATTAGTGAAATCAATTTGCTTAAAAGAAGAACAAAAAGGAGGTTAAAAATGAAAATGGCCTTGTACGAAACAGGAAAGGGGAATAAAAGCGACAAACTGCCTTTTAATTTATGCATAGTATAGAGCTAGAAAAAGAAAATTCCTTTGTGATCGACGTGAGTGTGTTGGGCATGTATGAAAGAGAGAGCTAGAGCGAGAGAGAGAGAGAGAGAGAGAGAGAGAGAGAGAGAGAGAGCGGTAGGGGGAAAAGAGAGAGAGAGAGAGAGGGGGTAGGAGAGAGAGAGAGAGAGGGGGTAGGAGAGAGAGAGAGAGGGGGTAGGAGAGAGAGAGAGAGAGAGAGAGAGAGAGAGGTAGGAGAGAGAGAGAGAGAGAGCGACAGGGGAGAGAGCGAGAGAGAGAGAGAGAGAGAGGGGGGGGGGGTCGGGAGTATGCCAGTTGTGAAAATACCTATAGCTAGAGTCAGTGGACATTACTACTCCGATATTCTTCCCCAAAGATATGACTTTAAAAGATTGAGAAATCTCAAAATCTTGACTAACTATTATTCCTTTTTATCAAGACGCAACCTTCTCTTTTAATACAATATACCAATAGGATTAAAGTCCACAGTTCTAAAGCGTCTCTGTAAAGGATGGTCAAAGGGATTTCCCCCTTTCCACAGAACCATTTCATAAAGAAAGTCTGTTGTTATGTAACCATCGGATTTGTCAAACATTGGACCATTTAACATAACAATAGCAAATGACGATGCATCAACGCAGATAAATAATGCCACGCAAAAGCATGAAATGCCTTCGAGTGCTGAAATCGTGAATTGTGATTAAGTCTCGCAGAACGAACACAGTACATCGTACATCATTTCGATATGATATGATCGTTCCATCCGGGATATATTAGAGGAATTAACACGGAAGAAACTTAGTCAAACTTGTTCATTGGGAAACGACTGTTCACGATAGCCAGGAGAGACAAGTGTTGCGTTCGTCATAATAAGTGCTTTCAGCCGTTTACTTCTTCTGATACTATTTTCCTGACATATCGCCAGAATGAAGTCTTCGGCATATCAATTCATATGTGTCGTCATTCACGTAGTCACCTCGTCTCACTATGTATGTAAGTATATTGTATATATACAAAATACAGTCATTCAATTAAGGGAAGTCATCAAGAAATGATCATGAGTTTTCCTATATATAGCATCCTATAAGATACATGTAGTTTATGGCTGACGTCAGCTACTGAGCTAACAACGTTGTTGGAGGAAAGTGGATTCATGTGTTTAGTTCCTGTAGTCTCATGTTTCTTGTCTTATCTTTTTCATATCCGATTTATTATTTTTTTAAAGTTAACAGTACACATAAAATAGAATCGTAGGTATGGGGAAATTTCCCCGAACTCCTTGAATGATGAAAATAAAAGAAGAGCGAGAGAGAGAGAGAGAGAGAGATAGTGAGAGAAAGAGAGAGAGAGAGAGAGAAAGAGAGATAGTGAGAGAAAGCTGGAGAGAGAGAGAGAGAGAGAGAGTGAGGGTGTGTTAGAGAGAGAGAGATAGAAATAGTGAGAGAAAGATAGAGAGAGGGAGAGTGAGTGAGGGTGTGTTAGAGAGAGAGAGAGAGAGAGATAGAGAAAGAGTGTGTATATGGGTAAAATAAAATTGTTAAAAACATAAGCATTATCAAAGTTAAAATATGTCTCATCACTTTTAGAAGTTCCTCAGTGGTTGTTTACTGAGGTGGAAAAATTAATTTTGATTTCTTTTTTGGCTGGTAAAGACCACATAAAGAGAAATGTAATGTATCAGGACTACTCGCATGGAGGGTTAAAAATGTCAATTCTAAATTGTTCGTAAAGGCGCGACGTTCGATGTGGCTAAATTACGTATTGTATGGAGATAGGGATCCTGGATGGAAACTGTATTTGAAATTCTTGTTTTAGAACAGTTGGAGGGAAATTTCTGTTTCTACGCGACTTTCACACGTCTAAATTAACATTGAAAATACCACAATTTTATTTAGAAACGCTAAAGGCTTGGCAGGATATGAGGAAATATAGATTGTATGAAGAGAAGGTCAACCCAGTTATATTTAATAATCATCATATACGTATAAGAGGTAAAATTATTTTTGATTATGATCTATTCAATAAAGGCATACACACTGTAAATCAAATTTGCGATAATGGACATATGAAGCCCTTGGCTTATTTTCAAAATCTTGGGATTAATGCAAATTAATTGCTCCAGATAATAAATATTGCTCATGCCATGCCAACCAATTGGAAAACTTTAATATAAACATGAATATTGCTGGGGCAGAAAACACCTTTCCAGATAGTTAAATCTAAAACTATTTATAATTGTTTTATCAACAGTTTACCTGAATCACACAATTTAACAGTCAGGGATGGTCAGAGCAATTTTAAATTTACAAAAAAAGAAATACGTACATGTTTTTATCCGAGCAAGGAGCACAACTCTTATCAGAAAACAAAATGAATTTCAGTTTAGGCTTTTACATGGAATCATATACACAAGGGAACATTTGATGAGGTTTGGGTTCGTGGGGGACAATTACTGTTCATTCTGTACTAAAGGGATAGAGTCTTATTTACATATATTTCTGTACTGCATGAAAGTTAAACAGTGATAGCATTTCTGTATTCAATGTTTCGGCTCGGCTGAATTAAGAGATATAAAATGAGGCATATATATTCATGGGACTCCCTGGTAGTTTACGGGGGGGGGGGGGGGGGGTTAGTGTGGTAGAAGGGGTGGAGGGGTGGCGTGGGATATTGATGGAGGATGCATTGTATACACAAATACACTGTTGGTCATAATGGTGGAATATTTATTTTTACCCCAGTTTAGGGAAGGATTTTAAAAAATTATTTATTTTTAATAGATCTAGATAATGGCATACATTCTCAGATTTTATTGAATATTAATTTGCTAGTGTTTGTTTGCGTGACTGCTTAATCATATGTGTGCTACTATGCTAATCAGCTAAGGGACCTACGTCGTTAAGTCATAATTGACAGTAATGAGGATTAATGCCTCACAAAAGGGCACTAATATATAGCTGATCGACACGATTTTTATCCTGGGGCCTCATAGTAACGAGGCCATTGCTTAGCCCCTGAATCATGACTGTACGCAGTGTTTGCTAGGGTACGCGGCCCCTTCCACAAATCCCCCAAAACGAAGAAAATGCAATAAATTGTCAAAAATTCATTGCATTTTCCCCCGGCCCCCAACAGGAAAAATTCATCTGTAGGGCCATGCATTATGGTTCAAGGCATGGCCACACAGAGGAATTTTTCCTGTTGGGGGCCGGGGGAAAATGCAATGAATTTTTGACAATTTATTGCATTTTCTTCGTTTTGGGGGATTTGTGGGGGCGGCCGCGTACCCTAGCAAACACTGCGTACATTCATGATTCAGGGGCTAAGCAATGGCCTCGTTACTGTGAGGCCCCAGGATAAAAATCGTGTCGATCAGCTATATTAGTGCCCTTTTGTGAGGCATTAATCCTCATTACTGTCAATTATGATTTAAGGACGTAGGTTCCCTAGCTGATTAGCATAGTAGCACACATATGATTTAGCAGTCACGCAAAACAAACACTCGCAAATTAACATTCAATAAAATCTCAGAATATATGCCATTATCTAGATCTATTAGAAATAAATAATTTTTTTTTAAATCCTTCCCTAAACTGGGGTTAAAATAAATATTCCACCATTATTACCAACAGTGTATGTATTATGTTATTTTTCATGAATGATGGTAATAACTAAGTTCAGTATGCTATTTTTATTATTGTAAAAATGAAGTGATTTCATTGCATTATTCTCCTTCTTTGCTCACTGTTTTTTTAACCCGTTGACTACTGCATTATTTAATTCCCATAGACTTAACACAGAGACCACCAGGTTCCACTAAGCAATGGGTTAAATAATGTATTTGTGTTATGAAAACGAAATGAAGATTTGTATTAGTATGGAATAAAATACATTAATATTTTTGTAATGATTTATTTGGAATACAAAATCTTATTATTAAAAGAAATATGGGGAAATAAAATATGTGTGTATGTGTGAGGCAAAGAGAGAGAGAGAGAACGAAAGAGAGACTGTGAGGGGGAAAAGAGAGAGAGAGAGAGAGAGAGAGAGGGGGGGGGGGGAGAAGGTTGGTGTACAGAGATACATTAACAGATTAGAAATGGGTTCACGTGAAAATGTAAGTTTCGTCAAGAATATGTAAGCAAAGGGGAAGTTGGAAGTCAGAAATTAACAATTATCAGGTAGTTTAACAAACATGTTTAACTGAATTACGCAGATACAAACTATTCAAAGATTTGTGTAAATATATAAAGCGGCCTTTGAACAAACACCAAAGTGGGAGATTGACCCCTATTGAATACGACACAGATAGTTACTAATTATCTTAAATCAAATATTTACCTAAAATGAAATAACTAAGTGCTGATTGTAGTTTTGCTTATATTCTATTTCATTTCCTCTTTCTTTTTGTTTCCGAAATTCAATAAGCGAGCTTTTTTTTTTAATTCGGGCTTGATACCTCAGTCACACCAATGCGACAAACACAAAACAGAAAACAGACCAAACAGAACATTAAAATGATAACAATAATAATCATACTCTGAATTTACGTAGCGCTTTATAAGAAATACAGTCTATAAGCGCTTTGCAGATATTGTTACCCCGGTCATCGGAATCATCCACGCTCAATGTGCACCATCTCCACTCTCTGGGGAGTATTCCTACGGTATTGTCACCGTGATGTTAGCATTGTTGTAAGGGCGGTCAAAGGGACTTCCCCTTTCCACAGAACCATTTCATAAAGGAAGCCCGTTGTTATGTAACAATCGGATTTGTCAAACATTGGACCATTTAACATAACAATAGCAAAAGACGATGCATCAACGCAGATAAATAATGCCGCGCAAAGCATGAACAGCCTTCGACTGCTGATATCGTCTATTGGGACTCTTAAAGTCTTGCTGAACGAACACAGTACGTGTACACTGTACATCATTTCGATATGATATGATCGTTCCATCCGGGATATATGAAAGGAAATAAACACGGAAGAAACTCAGTCAGACTTGTTCTCTGGTGAAGGGCTGTTCATGATAGCCAGGAATACAAGCAGACACAATTGTTGCGTACGTCATAAAAAGTGCTTTCAGCCATTTCCTTCTTCTGTTACTGCTTTTCCGACATATCGTCAGAATGAAGTCTTCGTCATATCAATTCATAAGTGTCGTCATTCACGTAGTCACCTCGTCTCACTATATATGTAAGTATATATACTGAAGACAGTCATTCTATGAAGGGAAGTCATCCAGAAATGATCATGAGTTTCCCTAAGTAGATTCATGTATATACATGAGTAGTTAACGCAAATTGTATTACTGATGCCAGTGAGCTAACAACGTTGGTCTGAAGGAAAGTAGATTCATGTGTTTCGTTTATGTAGTCTCATGTTTCTTGTATTATCTTAATCATATCTAATTTAGTTTTTTACCAAAAAAAAATACACGAAAAATAGAGTTGTTGGTATGGGGAACGTGCTCCCCCAACTCCGTGAATGATGAAAATAAAAGAAGAGCAATAGAGAGAGAGAGAGAGAGAGAGAGAGAGTGCGTGTGTGCGTGTGTATGAGAGAGAGAGAGAGAGAGAGAGAGGGAGGGAGAGGGAGAGGGGAGGGGAAAGTGAGAGAACGAGTGCTTGTTTTAGAGAGAGAAAGTGTGTGTGTATGTTTTTTTTATTTGTGTGTGTGAGTGTGTGTGAGAGAGAGAGAGAGAGAGAGAGAGAGTGAGAGAAGGGGGGGGGGGGGAGGTAGAGTGACACTCACATTACATGGAATGATAAGAAATATGTTCATGACTAAAACTTTTAGTTCGTAAAGAATATGTAAGCAAAGGTGGTGTAGGACATTGGAAATTAACAATGATGTATATCATAGTTTAACATGTTTAAATCATATTTTTTATTTTTATTTTTTTCATTTCCAACAGAAATACAATTTATAATAACGAATACAAGGGAAAATGTATGCAAAACATAATTACACTTGTAATATAAAAAAA